CTGTCGGCCCGGGCAGGGCTGACGGCGTCGGCGCTGGGACCTTATTTCCCCCGCGCCCGAACGGCAGCCAGCCGAGTGCCCCTTGGACCGTAAAAGCACCGCCCGTAACCAAGATCATCAGGTGCGCTCCCAGGAAGCCCACAGCCATGGCACCACAGACGCGCTACCTAGTCCGCGGACTAGCACGGCTGTGGTTGTGGCCGCCCCGCGGCCCCCCGGAACACCCGCGCGTCGGCCAGAGCCGAACGCTACGGACCCAAAATGGCTACCTGAGCCCACACCCCCTCCCTCTTAACCTGCAGTCTACAACCAATCAGACTATACAAGCTGGCGCCGACCGCGAGCTCCAGCCAGCGCCGAGGCCGGCATCCACCGCCTCGTGGTCCTCGCTGGCGCCGCTGCGGCCCGCACCAAGTCCGGCTTGGGCCCTTTTCCTGCGAGGCTCCCTCAGCGTCTTCCAGGCCCTCGGCCGGTGGTTTCGCCGCCTGCTCCTCCTCATCCTCCTCCTCCTCCGCCTCCTCCCTCCTCTTCTTACTGTTCTTAATATCATTATTATCCGTATTATTCGATTAATAATGTTGAGAGTTATCATTATTGTGAATATCCTTATGGTCTTTAATCTGAGTATCACCACTGTCACCAATGTTATACTTAATATGACTAATGGTGCTAGACATGTTGTTGATAATGATACTAATATTGATAGGGCTACAGTAATAAGACTAATAAGGATGGTGGTGATATCATTAACCGTAGTACAACTTGTTTGTAATATATATATATATATATGAAAGAAACAACAAAAAGTGTCATACTAGTACGAAAAATACGAATAGCACGAATACAACCATCATTGTTGTTATTGGTAGTAGCATTATGTTTGTTGATAGTATTAGCATCAGCAGTATCAATACTACTCTTAATAATCGTATTACTCTTAGTACTCGTATTACTCTTAGTATCATTAAAATTACTCGTATTCCTCATCATCAGCATCATCCCCATCAGCATCAGCATCATCAGCAGCAGCATCATCAGTATCAGCATCATCATCAGCATCAGCATCATCATCTGCATCATCATCATCAGCATCATCATCATCAACATCATCATCATCATCAGCATCATCATCATCAGCATCATCATCGTCATCGTCAGCATCATCAGCATCATCAGCATCAGCTTCATGGTCATCATCAGCATCGTCATCATCATCAGCAGCATCATCATCGTCATCATCATCAAGCCTTTCACTGCTCACACGTTTCCTGCCTCAAATGAAGCTCTACAGAGGGCCCCAGTGGGTGAGTCCGCATGGCGCCGCCGCGCCAGTTTCGGCACACCGCTCACACGTTTCCTGCCACCGACGGAGCTCCACCGAGGGCCCAACTGGGTGAGTCCGCATGGCGCCGCCGCTCCCATTGTGGCACACACAAACACACACACACACACACACACACACACACACACTAACACACACACACACTAACACACACACACACACACACACACACACACACTCACACACACACACACACACAAAACACACACACACATACACACACACACACACACACACACGCGCGCACACACGCAGACACACGCACACACACACACACACACACACACACACACACACACACACACACACACACACACACACACACACACACACACACACACACACACACACACACACACACACCACACACACACACACACACACGCGCGCGCGCGCGCGCGTTTCCTGCCTGCAAGGGAGCTCCACCGAGGGCCCAAGTGCGTGCGTCCACATGGCGCCGCTGCGCCCAAGTCGGCACACCCGTCACACCGTTCCTGGCTCCGAGGGAGCTCCACTGAGTGCCCCAGTGGGTGCGCCTGCATGGCGCCTCCGCGACCATGTCGGCACACCCAGGGAGCTCCATCGAGGGGTGCGTCCGTATGGCGCCCTCCCAGGGAGCTCCATCGAGGGGTGCGTCCGTATGGCGCCCTTCCCAAGGAGCTCCATCGAGGGGTGCGTCCGTATGGCGCCCTCCGCGCCCATGTCGGCACACCCCTCACACGTCTCCTGCCTCCCAAGATGCTCCACCGAAGGTCCCAATGGGTGCCTCCGCATGGCGCCGCCGCGTCCATGTGGGCACACCCGTCACACGCTTCTGGCCTTCCAGGGAGCTCCACTGAGTGCCGCAATGGTGCGTCCCCATAGCGCCGCAGCGCCCATGTCGGCACAAGTCCTCACACGCTTCCTGCCTCCCAAAATGCTCCACCCACGGCCCCAATGGGTGCGTCCACATGGCGCCGCCGCGCCCATGTCGGCACACCCCTCACACGCTTCTGGCCTTCCAGGGAGATCCACCGAGGGCCCCAATGGTGCGTCCGCATGGCGCCACCGCGCCCATGTCGGCACACCTCTCACACGCTTCCTGCTTGCAGGGGAGCTCCACCGAGGGCCCAAATGGGTGCATCTGGATGGCGCCGCTACGCCCAAGTCGACACACCCCTCACACCGTTCCTGCCTCCGAGGGAGCTCCACCGAGGGCCCCAGTGGGTGCGTCCGCGTGGCGCCGCCGCGCCCATGTCGGCACACCCCTCACACGTCTCCTGCCTCCCAGGAAGCTCCACCGAGGGTGCCTCCGCATGGCGCCGCCGCGCCCATGACGGCACACCCCTCACACGCCTCCTGCCTCCCAGAAGGTTCAGAAAACTCCGCCGAAGGCCCCAGTACCAGTGCGTGTGCCCGCACGGCACCTCGTCCTCGCGGGTATGAAGGGTCGGGCTCTTCGCCTGGCCAATCTTTTTGGGGGGGGGGTCCAGCGCATGCCCGCTGCCAGGGTCATCGAGAGCGGGCCCGAGCACCTGACCCCGGAGCGAATGACTACCTACCATACCAGACCACCCCAACCCAACCCGAAGACCCGAATTTCGGGTTGGGGGGGATATGGGCTCCATATGTGTTTTTTCGATGTTCCCGGACCCCCCCCCCACTAGAAATCGAGGGTAAATCTGAGCCTTCGGGTTGGGTTGGGGTGGTTTGGTGGGTGGTGAGCGAAGGGACAGGCGACGGGCGCATCGCGTCCCCTTTGTACAAACAGACCCGCCGGGGCACGCTGCATGCTGGCCGCCGCAAGGCTCCGGAGCACGGCCAGAACAAAGGCTGAGGCAAGGCAAAAAAAGACCGCACTGGCTCCGGGCTCAGGGGAGGTGATGACGAGCAGGAAGAGGAGGGAGGAGATAGGAGGGGAGGAGGGAGGAGGGAGGAGGAAGTAGGGAGGAGGGGAGGAGGCAGGAGGGGGAGGGGAGGAGGGCAAGCTAGGTGCGCTCGCATCATATCTGACGACCTTACCACGGCGCAGATCGCCTCTCTATTCGCACAGTCGGATGTCGAGCAGGGCAATGATCGCGAGAAGGTACGCGATGCATGATAGAGCACGGCATGGCATGGCATAGAAGAGCACGGCAGAGCGTAGCATGCCATAGCACGGCGTGGCATTGCGCAGCGAAGCACTGCATCACAAAGCATTGCAATGCAAAGAATGGCATCGCACAGCGGCGCAGAACACAACACCGCACACCATGTCATGGCATTGCGCCGGGGTCCTTGGAGGGTAGGGCCAGTCTGAATCTAGCTCCTTGGGCTACCCGATAAGCTCCGCACAAGGCGGGCTGATGGAGAGCACCCGCTGGCTCTGCTTTCAACATCGCCTTCTTAAAGCAGAAACGGGGTTCCCGCTTGATACGTCCTGAAAACGACGACGACCCAAAGTGGGGGGGGGGACTTCTGCGGCCCAAAAAGTCAACGAATCGGCACCAAATGTGGAATCACTTCCGATAGGTTTTTCGGGGGAACACTTTCTAGATTTGGGGGCCTACTTGGACCGACAACGCCTGCGATGCAGCGGGAGCACAATCTAAAACAACCAGAGGCGCAGAAATGGAGCCAGCACTTCAGCGAGAGCACCACTTTTTTAAAAACAAAAAAAAACAACAACAACAACAATAATAATAATAAAAAAAAAAAAAAAAAAAAAAAAAAAAAAAAAAAAAAAAAAAAAAAAAAAAAAAAAAAAAAAAAAACGACTCCGGAATCCATGTAAAAAACATACGCCGGGGGGGGGGGGGGCAGACATCTTCCAGACGTCATCAGGGAAGAGAGGAGAGTAGCATTCATACTGTGTCCTTGTAGAGGGACGAGGAGGAGGGAGGGGGAGGAGGGGAGTGGGAGGGAGGACGGGGAAGGCAGGGAAGAGGGACAAGAGAGGAATGGGAGGAGGGAGGGCGGGAGGGAGGAGCGGGGAGGGGAGGAAGGGAGGGGAGGGGAGGAAGGAGGAGGGAAAAAGGCGGGGAGGAGGGAGGAGGGGAGGAGGGAGGAGGGGGAAGGGAGGGAGGAGGGAGGAGGGAGGACGGAGGACGGAGGAGGGAGCAGGGAGGAGGGAGGAGGGAGGAGGGAGGAGGGAGGAGGGAGGGGAGAGGGGCGAGGAGGAGGCGAAGAGGGGAGCGAAGGAGGGACACGAGCGGTGGCTCCCCGTGGCGCAGGCCTGTTTGGAGATGCCCTGCTAATCTCTGCCCTCTCTTGCGCACTACTGGAGCCTCGCGCGAAGAGGGAATGGACAACTGCGAGGGCGATGCACTACTGGAGCCTCGCGCGAAGAGGGAATGGACAGCTGCGAGGGCGACAACGGGAGTGACCAGCGGGGGCAGGGAGAGAGGGAGAGAGAGAGAGGGGGGAGGCGGCTGGTCGCGTCACGAGTCGTGCCGGCGGCGCCTGGGACTGCCCAGGCATGGCCAATTCTCACGCGGCGCCAGCGCGAGGCGTGACGTGGCCAGGGCAGGGAGGCGGGGCCGGTCACGGGCGTCATCGCGGACCACGGAAAAAAACTGCTCGTACTGCTGCACCCGCCTCATCAAGGCTGGTCCTCATCCTCATCCTCAAGGCTCCATCCTCATCCTCATCCTCAGAAAAAAGCATCTCCATCCTCATCCTCAAGGCTCATCCTCAAAAAAAACGCCTCCATCCTCATCATCAGCGCTGGTCCTGGCAGGCCCAGGCGCGTGGACCACCTGCCCGCGCCTCTGGCGTGCGGCAGCCCAGGACCACCTGTCCCAGGGCTGCGCCGCGGCACCGAAAAAGCCCCAGCCTGGTCGGCGGCAGTGCGCCTTCACAGGAAGCCTCTCTGACTCGCGTTACTATGATACTGTGCCGGACCCAGCTGCACGCTGCAGCCGCGCAGCGCCGTCCTGATAGCGCTGTGACGCAATGACACTCGCAGCACAGAAGGTTCTCTTCCGCTTGCAGGGCATGCTCCGATGTGGAGCACTTGCGGCGGACCATCCCGCCAGAAAATCCCGCACGTTGCTTCGTGCTCGTAAGACATGGCTGCTGCATCAAACCCCCCCCTCGAAATGTGAAGTTTGCGGGTGAGCAGGAAAACGCATGGTGCCATGCACCGTGTCAAAAGGTTGGCTGGCTTGTTGAAGTAAAACAACATATGAGGACACTACGATCCAGAAAAATGAGTGCACGATTACATCTCGCCGCAAATCCAGCCTACGCTATAGGCCGCACCAGCCGCCAAGCTACCAGTGACCATCATGCTGAGCCCGCCCTGGAAACCGCTGCCGCCCACAAGCTTGGCTCTAAGCAAGCCCAGCACGAACAGCGTCACCAACGTTGCCATTGTGGCTATGGCGAATCTAGCCGTCTGTCCACCATCTCCCTTATCATGTTCATCCCCCAGTACGTGGTCATCGTCCAGCAACTCCCAAGCGATCAAGTACGTGCCCAAGGGAACCAAACCGAAGACGAGAAATGACAGGAACGTGACAGCCCCTTTCTTGTGACACTCGAACTTGTCGGTCTCATCGGTGATCGGCATCAGCCCCAGCTCGTCCACCATCATGCTCTCCACGAAGACTTTTGGGTACAAGGCAAGGATGCGGATGTACTCCTTCGCGTGCTCCTCGAGCATGCCCTTCTGCACGTATATCTCTACCATCTCAGCGATCTCACCCTCGAGATAGTTCTCCGTCTCCCAGATCTCCCGCGCCTGCTCCCGCATCACGTACGCCTGCTCCGCGCTCTCCGACAAGTAGTCACCCACGCCCATGCTGAGCGCGTCGGCGACTAGGTTCGCAATGCCCATCAGCAACGCGGTCTTCTGGGAAAGCCCGCCGCCCTCCACCGCTGACACAATCGCAAATGTGGTGATGATGCCATCCAGCCCACCGAAGATGACAGACTTTACATAGGCACCCGCGTTCAAACTGTAATGGGGCTCGTCGTGCTTGGTCTTGACCCGAGACACCGGATTGACTGGCTTCCCGCAGGCCGCATCGTAGGAACCAGGAGGTGCGTGAAAAGAGGACTTCCAGTCCTCGTGCGGAGAATCTTCGATGTCTGGCTGCACGTTCTCATCCTCAGGAGAACAAGTGCTCTCCGTGCTTGCCTGGTGCTTTGCACGACTGATTTCTTGTATGGCAGCGTTCACGCGCTGTTCATGCTTATCCGTCCTATGGCTATCAGCCTTCCTGTGGAACTCGCTGATGATTTTGAGAGGATCAATTGACTTGCTCGTGGAAGGAAAAATGTCTATGGATGAAACCTGGTCGACGCCCACATGGGCGTTGTTCGATGTGCCTGGAACAATCCCGGAAAAGGTCATTCTAAGCTTTCCACAAAGTCCAGCTGTGTGCCTATCCTTTAGTATTTGTACGTGCGCGAACATACTGGATACTCGCGTAAAACGTAAACTGAACGACTAGCCCGCTAAATGTGATGGTGGTTCAGCTCCCTTGTTCGTTGTCGTATTGCTAATAGAAGCGGCGCCAAAAAAGGCGTAAGCCAAAATGGCTAAGGGTCGTGCCTCCCAGCACGAAGCGTGATAGAATGCGAAGTTCTGCCTGGTAAGACTTCTCAGGAAGCCATCTCCCCAAGCGGAAGTTCTATGCAGCCCCCTCCCCTTTTCCTTCTAGAAGTCCCCGGGCGCACAGACGCATTCCTGGCGCCGACGCCTTCAGGGCGCCCAAGATGGCTTCCAAGACGGCCGACTCAGGCCACCAAGGCCATGACGGCCCAAGCTGGCCCTAGACGGCCCAAGACGGCCTCAATACAGCCCAAGAGGCCCAAGAGGTCCATAAAACAGCCCAAGAAGGCCACAAGAGCACCCTCAGTAGGGCCCAGAGAAGCCAAAGTCATTAATTTGCCAGATGGCTTATGCAAGGTCCGGGCCTCTTCGCGGCTTCAAGGTCCCCTGAGCTCCAGATCTGGCCTTGGAGGCCTCCAAGATGGCCCCAAGATGGCCCAACACGGCCTCAAAACACCCCAGTGACAATTCCCAGGACGGCCTCAAGACGGGCCCCAGGCGGCCCGTACAGCCAGACTTGATTGGACAGGACGCGCGAGAGGGCACAAGACCCTTCGAAGGGCCACCTTGCCACAGGAATGCAGGAGGCATGGGTCGCGAGATAGAGGACACCAAGGGTACACCCTGCGAAATGCTTAAGAAATCATGGGTTAAGAAATTCATAGTCTCAGAACTTGAATGAAAACCCAACGTTTCTATCAAAATCTTGGGATTTACATTGTCACATTAAGAATAATCGAGACTCTGGCCGAAAACTTAGGTTTTCTTAAGCATCGCCTAAGGTGTACTCTTGATTTGGGAGGGTCGACCGACCAACCCGGGCCGGCCGTGGACGGCCACAAGAGAGCCCACGCTGCCCAAGGAAGCCTTCCGGAGGGACCCAAGACACCCCAAGAGCCCCATCGACGGCCCAAGGCGGCCTCAAGGCGGCCTCGAGACCTCCCCCGACGGCCAGCAGGGCCCCGAGGCGGCCCCAGGAGGACCCCAAGGGGGACCCCAAGACTGCTCCACGGGAGCCCAAGACCGCCCCGAGAGAAAGCCCCAGGACGGCCCAGCTGAACTCCTCCCCAACATCACCATCAGCATGGCGTTCCACATCGCACTCGTGCACCGCTATGCTCCTGCTTCTGTTCCTGGTCGTCCGCCTCCTCCTCCTCCTACGACGACGACGACGGGATTAGCTGTCGGAGCTGCCGCACGTCTGCAGGACACGCCAGTCGAGCAGCGTGGCTAGCCAGCACATGCAAGGGGCTCGTGGCTTGTGATGACGATTGGACCCGTCTTGCCGCAGCTGACGCCCCGTTGCACATCGGCGACCAGCAGGTACACGAGTCACATACGATGCAGCTGCGGGTATCCTTGGATGTATGGGCTTGCCTGGCATGTGGCTGCTATGCTCGGCCAGGGTTGCGTGCGCTGGCGCGGGGCCCGCTCGCCAACTGCCAAGGGGCCACGCCAGCTGGACGAGAGCACCTTGAGCGACCACGTCAAGGAAATTGGCCGAAGGCAGGCGTCATCCTGTGCCCCGACGACGACGACGACGGGCACTGCGCCGAGCGTGACGTCGACGACGATGGCACCCTGGACGTCTTGCAGGTGCCGCGCAGGAGAGGGGCCAGGCGGAGCCCCTTAGAGCCCGTGCGGCTGGCCGCTGGCAGGTCGTCGCGCCGTCGTGGCGGACGGGACGGTGACGATGCTCAAGCTGTCGAGCAGGGCCATGGCGTCAGTTCGCAAAGTCCTGGTGTACCAACGCGGCTACCAGGCTCAGCCGCCAGGGGCGTAAGATCGCAAAGTCCTGGTGCGTCATTGCGGCTACCAGGCTCGACGTCGCCACGCGAGCCCAGGCTCGGCAGCGAGCTGGACGCTGAGGATGATGTGGAGGTCGTGATGCCCGTGGGCCCGTCGAGCGCCACGAGCCCTCGCCAGGGGGGTTGCTGCTGACGCGAGGCGCGGAGGGAGTGCCGCTACTGGAGGAGGAGTAGCGTGGGCGGGGTCCGATCACCACGAGGGGCGGCGCGATGGCCAGGGGGGGCAGGAGAGCAGCTCTGGGAGCATCCCAAGCCCCCCCCCCAGAGGCAGGCACAGCCACGCGATCGCTCCATGGACGTGGAGCAGAAGGACGAGAAGGACGAGTACTTCTGCGACAACAGGGTGGCCATCTGTCAGCGCAGGCTTGGCATGGACGGCGACGGCTGCGGCATGGAGCCCGACACCGTGCTCGACGCCGAGCTGGAGGACTTCGAGGCGCTGGACCTCCCCATGGCGAGCCCCTCGGAGGCCCTCGCGGAGGAGGACGACATCGAGCTGGACACGGTGGGCATCACGAGCTGCACCGCGGCCTTCACGCGCTGCCCTGGGCGCACCCACGCGGAGGGCTGCGGAGTCACACCTGCGCTTGGAGGCCGAGCCGAGGGTCGATCCGTGCGGGGCGGGGGCCATAGTGGGCGATCCGAAAAGAACTCGCGAAGCCCTCGCCCCACAGCGGCGCTCGCCGAGGCGAAGCCGCCTGTCTGGAGCAGTGGTCGTGGCACCCTCATCTCCGAGCCGACGACGCTGATGGCCGAGGGCCGAGGCGCTGCTGGATGGACCGCTGCAGGAGCTGCTGGCACGACTGGCGTGGGGCGCTGCAACGAGGCCAGGGGTACCCAGCAAGACGGGTCGACGGCTACGGAGGGTGGGCTGGCGATGGCTGCCCTCAATGACACTGCTCGCCCGAGGAGCGGTGCGCCTTCCCTAGCTACGGGACCCCCGTCCGCTGCTGGGCCCACTGCGCTGAGCAGCGCCCCACTTGTGTCGAGTATCGACGAGGCCAGTTCGGCCGCAAGGCGTGCCCACATCATGAGCTCGCTGATCACGACAGCCACCGTGGAGCTCAGGGCGGACCCCGACGTCGAGCCCGAAGCCGCGTCCAACGCCGTGCCCGACGCCGTGGCCGACGCCCTACCCGACGCCGAGCTGGAGCAGCTCGAGCACTTCGAGGAGCTGGACCACTTCGCGGCGTACCCCGCGGTGCACCTCGCGGAGGACAGCTGCCCGCGGGCGCCCGCGGGCTGCGAGGCTGGCGGCCCCGCACTGGACGCCGCGAATCCCGCGGCGGCCACCAAAGAGCTCAAGGCGGACTCCGACGCCGAGCCCGACGCCGTGGCCGACGCCATACCCGACGCCGAGCTGGAGGACTTCGAGGCGCTGGACCACCTCGCGGCGAACCCCGCGGTGCAGCTGGCGGAAGACAGCCGCCCGCGGGCGCCTGCGGGCTGCAGGGCTGGCAGCTCCGCGCGGGGCGCCGCGATCCTCGCGCGGCGCCCGCCAGTGCCGCCGCCGGCGCCGCCGCCGCTGCCCCCCTTCGCGGAGCTCGTGCGGCGGGCCGCTGGCAGCCCCCCCCCGCCCTGGCCGCCGCGGCGGGCGGGGCGACGCTCGGGCGAGGGGCTGAGCCCTGCGCCCCCCCGTCGGGGGGGGGGGGGGGGGGGGGGCGCGCCCTGCGCCGCGCTCTGGCGCGCCGCTGCGCCCGCGTCCCGCGGGCGGCCGCGCGCGGATCTCGCCGCTGCGCCCGCGTGGCGGTGTCCCCATCTCATCTCAGCTCATCTCGTGTCCTCCTCCTGCTGCTCCTCCTCGTCTTTCTCTTCCTTCTTCTCCTCCTCCTGAACTCCTCCCCCGCATCGTTTCGGTGGTCCTCCACTCCGCCCTGGGACGACCAGATGATCAAAAATTAACCGAAGACGACCGAAATCTGACGTGGGATGGCGTTCTGACCGTTACTCCAACCGTCGCCCGATTCACATGTTCGAGTCTCCGGAGCCCTTCCCGAACAGCTGCCTCCAAGAGCACCGCGCCGGCGTCGAGCTGTGCCGCAAGCGGCTGGACACGCCAGAGGGAAACGCTGTCGTGGGAGGGAGGCGAGTGGCGAGCACTAGCGACCAAGAGTACTACGAGAGAGTGGCAATATTTGGAGGCCTGGGAATGGGCACCCACACCAGCACAGGAGGTTGCCTCCACAGGGGGAAGATGATCCTGGAGTTCGGCGCTGGTGGTGCTGTCTCGGCCACCTGGGAAGCCCGGATGTTTACCACGCCCACCGCGATCGGGATACAGTGGGGGCTCGGCCACAAGAAACCTCCGCAGGAAACCCAACCCTGAAATACGCGATCGGTTCCGTGAAGATCCACATGTGCCCATCGAAGATCGTCAAGATCTGATTGGGAGCGCCTCAAAATCCAAGAAGCCCAGGGCACCCTGGCAAAATCCAACTGGCTTCTTGGCACGCGCCCCCACTGTAAGAATGCTCCCTCGGTGGAGGCACACCGCCGAGATCGGTGGTGGCGCCCACCCCTCGGACTCCCCGAAAACTTAGAGGCGCTCGCGCTCTGCCTGGCACCCTGCCCTCAGCGTCCCTCCAGCGGGGACTCCACCAACGGGCACGTTGGCCAGTGACCCAGCGAGCCCAATCCTCCCCGATGTGGGCAACGCTGCAATGCGAAAAAGAGGCCCTGAAGTGGCAACGTTTGGCAATTTTCCAAAGTACCCGTTAGTGAGCACCCGTTACGGCGCCACTGATACCCCATCCCACCCATCCCACCGGTCCCTTCGCTTTCCAGCAACTCCTCCTCCATCCACCAGAAGGGGTGTCCTAGAAGGTCTTGGTACCGAAATGGCAGTCGCAGGACTTGGCCCATCTTTCACTGCATGTGATCGGCGAGAGGAACTTCTTATGTTGGACAATGAAGAGGGAGGTAGGGAACCGAACTCTATACACCAACGATTTTCCTGGCACTGTACTGACAATTGCACAGGAAAACGGATCCTGGTGTATACGGGCCCCTGGTATATACATGTTATGTTGTGTCTCTGGGAAAACGGGGAAACAAGTATACACCACACCACTCCGACCTCGTCACGACCCACCAAAAGTCCAGGGATTGAAAAATGGTAATGCATATCCTCCAGCTTCCGAGAAAGAAGAGGGGCAACATTGACGAACAAGCCATCGCATCCAGAAAGGTAGTCCGCGCTGAAGCAAATTCGCCATGCCAAGCGACGGAAGCAGGGCACCGATAC